TATTAAGAGAAAAGCAAATAGAAATATACACAGATAGCAATGCTATAATAAAAAATATTAGTAAAAATTTAGAACAAGTAGACAGAAATAAGATTCTTAAAAAGAAGAATGCAATATAGATAATAAAAATTAGAGAGCTTATTATAACAAAGAACATTCAGATAGAGTTTTTTAAAATTAAAAGCTACAGTAAAGATAGATGAAATAATAAAGCTAATAGTTTAACAAAAAAAGATGCAACAAGTAAAAAGATAATACAAGCTAAAAAGTTAGTTGCAAAGAGATAGAATATTGCTTAGAATAGAAAAACAAATATACTAACATATTAGCAAGACTGCTTTGCAAGTTAATAATAAATACAAGATTAAAAACAGAATAGAAAAAAATAAAAGTAATTAGAAGATTAGAACCAGAAACAGAAGTTATAATTTATAATTAGATATACTTTTAAAAAAGACTAAAAATATCTAAAGAAGTATATTGCATAATAAAAAAAAGTAGTGCTAAAAGAAATGCATTTATAAAGTATATAATAAATAAACTTCTAACCCTAAAAGAACTTAACAAAAAAAAACCAGATATATATATAATAATAAAGTATCAAGTATGCCAAGATAAAACAAAAAAAATACTAACACATTTGGCAATATATAAAGAACAAAGGAATCTTTGAAAAGAATCTAAAAAGTAATTATTATAACAGGTTGAAAGAAGCTAAAAGAAGAAGAAACAGTTCAGATCTCTCTATATATACTATATACAATGTTTTTTAAGAAAACAAAAACAGAAGAAATAAAAATAAAAGAGATACTAATTAAAGATTTTATTTTAAAAGAAATACATACAAATTAAAGTAGCTCCTAAATACAAAATTAAGATAGCAGTTTATGAACATAATAGCAAAAATGGCCTGAACCATATTTTACAAACAAGTATAGAAAATTTAATATAAAAAAATTAATAAATATAATAAAAATAAGAAATAACAAATAGGATAAAAAAAAGAAAAAAAAAGAAAAAAAAGCACCAAGTAAAAAGAAAAATCAAATTAGCAAATAATAGAAGAAAAAAAAAAGAAAGCAAAAAAAAAAGAGAAACAATTTGAAAAAAAAGTACAGAAGACAATTTTAGAGCTTGTTATAGAAGAGAGAAGATCTTTTTATTATAGATTTTAAGTAATTAGATGAGTAGCTTATTTCTGCTTAAAGTAATGTAGCAAGTTGCACTTAGATATTATTAGAATGACTGGGTGATGCTAGGCTTGATTGTTAAGAATATTTATATAATTGCAAATGTAATTTCAAAATTTTAATAAAGAACTAATATGACTGCTTAAAAAAAAAAAAAATAGTAAAATAGATTTAATAAAGAATAGTTAAAATTAATAAACTTAACTGAAAATAAATAATAATTGTATAGGGGTGTGGCAACTTAGTAAAGTGGTTAGGTTGTCAACCTCCAAGTGCCAAGTCCAGAGTTCAAATCTCAGTATTGATAAAAAATTTGAAAATCCTCTCTGTATTATGATTAACTGTCTCTTGCAATTGGTTAGAATAAGACACCTGTTACCTATATCACACTAGCATGACTAGCAGGTCATATAGCATTTGTGTAACAATTATATGATATTGTTCTTTAGGACAAGGTTACATGAAAGAATGCAAACTGGTACCAGGCAGTGCAAACTTACAATAAGTCCTCATGACCATGTAAATCATAAGAACCAAAAGAAAAAAGATGAAAGTCCACTTGAAAGACCTAAGTAAAGAGGTAATCTGAACTTTCAACAATGCTACTGTAAAGACTAGATCTATAAAATGAAGCTAGAACTTGTAAAACTAGACAAATATGCTAGTCTTTAAAAAAGGACCAGATAAACTAATTAGGCTACTGGAATTGCTAGATTCTGAAGGAAAAGATTACATGCTAATAAACATGTAAACCAAAGGTGTATAGTTTTGATCTGCCTTTCTGGGCTATTTGGTTTGGCAGTTTGGTGGAACTTGAATTGAATACCAATATGTTGTGAAGTCTGTATCAGAGTTGAGATGAACTCTACAAAGGCATAGCAGTTTAATGATATGCTTTGACTGTCAGTATTGATCTCAGCCATAGTGATATTAGATTAGCTATAAGAATAGGATACAGAAGATTCTGAAAGGTTTAGTACAAGGTCAAAGGTTTCTTATATAAGTGAACTGCTTTAAAGACTTAGTGACTATGACATATTTTTATCAGCATTAGCTAAAGTCACTGATAGGCAGAATAGATGTATGAATACAGAAACAGAATAGTTAAATAGAGAACTTACAAGCAGGTTCTAGGTATGACAGCTAGTGTAGAACCTTCGAGCAGACTACTTAAATTAGACAATAACTAAAGTTGTACAAGTGGCTAGTTGTACACTCTTCTTATGGTTGCCTTCTGTAGTTGTAAAGCATCTATTAGCCAAATATACTATTAATAAAATCCTGAGTCACAAGTACTCACCTTAATATTTAAAAAATAATAATAATAATAATAATTGTTAGATGATCTTATATTATTATTAAAGTTTTTTTATGATACTACTACAATATTTCTAATTTAAGTTACTTTACTCTTAATCTTATTTATCTGACAATAATATTACTTATTAAGAGGTTTATACCTTTTTACAAACAAACTGATAATAATTATATAAACTATTGTTTAAATCTAAATAATAATATTAAAGAAATTTTTTTGTATTTAAATTGTAATAATTATTAATTTATAAATTAAAAGATTAATATTTCTATACTATTTTTTTATTATATTATGCTAACACATTATTAGAGTTTGAATTAAAATTTATAATTAAATTATTAGAAGAAATAAAAATATTAATTTTTTAAATTAATTAATTAATTTATTTATAAAATTAAAATTATATAATTGATATAAATTACTACAGTTTTAAGCAATTTATTTTTTAAAAATCTGATAGAATATTTTTTATTTTTTTTTCTAGACAACATAAATTAATTGATGATAAAAATTCTAATAAATTGAATATTAAAAATAAATTTAATATACTTGTGACTTTAAATCAAATTTAAAAACTGTTAAAAGTATTATAAAGATAAAAAAAGAAAAATTAGCAAAAATAAAATAAGTATTTATTATTTATATAATTTAAAATTTAAGAATTATTGCTTAGTAGTACCTTTTATTATTACCAAAGACTTATATAATTTTGTTAAGACTGTTAGCTATTATTTCTTAAGAAATATTAGGATATTACTAGAGAAATTAAATTAGTAATATTATTTTTAAATCCACAAATTAAAAATTTAAAGTTTTTTGATAAAATAGTAAAGACAAATACAATAAATACAAATTAAAAACTTTTAATAAAAAAGGCTACTACTAATCTTCAGTTAAGCTTAATAATTTTGTTGATATATTACTTGTACTAATTAATAACTTACTAACTAATAACTTAATTGTACCTTTATTTAACAGTAAAGAGTTGAATAAAGTTATTAATAAAACTAAAATTAATCATTATCTTAATAAATCTATTAAGAAAAAATATTGTAATTCATTAAAATAATAAAAAAAATAAATATAAAATATATCTTGTGTTATTAAATCTAACTTGAAAGTATTTGTCTATATTAGCAACATCAGTTCCTTTAAAATAATTATTCTTAGATGCTAGGTTATATATTATAGCATTATATAACAGGTTTCATTCAGATATAATTAAGCAAATATTATTTTTTAAACATAATATGCAACATTTTTTTATTTTCAAACTAAATGAATTGTAATACGAATCAAGATATTAAGTATACATAATGTGTTTTAAATTGAACTATGTATTAAATATATAATGTTCACTAAAGAATAACTTGATGAATTAAACTTGAGATTAAATAAATAAACTACGACTTATAAATGTTATTTTAGTTTTATAAAAAAAAATCATATAGCAAGATTTTATAAAAGTGTTAATATTTATTGTCTGTAATTAGGCAATCAAATATAATATTCTATGTTGTGCTTGAAACAATGAATTAATTATTGAATAATTATAGTATTTTACTAATGATGTCTTTTATACATATTTATTTGTTATTAAAATTTTGAGATATAAGTTTCTCAGAATAAGACATACATGCATCAAGCCTATAAACAGATGAATTATCAAATTTCTTGGATTATAGTTTGTAAAAATAATTGAGTAAGTATCTATTCTATTTATATTTGTTAAAGATAAACATATAGCATATTAATTTATAGTTTTGGCATCTTTATTTATATTTTTTTAGGTTTTATTTTTTTATATTTATGTCTTTGTATTTTATATTAGATTCGATTAAATTCCACAATCACAAGATTCCTTGCTTATAGTATTAAAACTAATTATTGCATTTTCATAATTACTATCAATTTTTAATAATCCTGGGTTTGCTTATTATAATCATATCGCTTTATTAGCATACTTTCACTATGTATTATTTCCATTTGTTATACTCATTATTAATTAGTTGAGATCTTTGACTATTTTTCTACCAGCCGTATTGCTTCTACATGATTGTTTAAACTTGACGGATACACAAAGTATATTCATACTTTCAATTAGTTTAATTCATTATTTTATTCTCATAATACTATTATTATATCTGGAAATGAGATAAATATCATTGACGATTTTGGCTAGTATATGATTTGTAATCTTGTCAACAATAGTTATTTTTAATATTAATTCTAATTAAATTTAATGCGGTTAATTGAACTTTCTATAATATCAAAAGCTATAATTGGTTAATATATCTTTGGATAGTTGGAATTTAAAAATTCCCTTATTCTCGCCAGTAATGCAAATCAAAAAAGGAAGTTTAGTGCTAAGTACTTGAGATAGAAATTTAAGTCTAGGTATTTGGGTAATATCAGAATAAGATGTCACTCCTTATGTAAAATTTCGATCCCAACATTTTGAATTAGTGCACTGAAATCGGTTTAAACTAGTGATGGGCGATTACTTTTCAATTACTTATCGTATTAATGGCAATTACTTAATTACTGATACATATTTCTATTAATTACATTATAGTTATTATATACAAATATCGAGAGCTTTAAATTCTAAGTTATTTACCAAAAATTTAAATAGTATTCATTAATATTAAATAATCGTATATAATCAATTTAACCCATCTCTATTTTAAACATTAGTTTTTGGCTATAATTTTAATCAGATATCTGGATCACCTGATTTAATCAGATATCCGGACCACCCGATTTAGTACGGATATCCGGTTGGTTTAAGAGATACTATTTTTTTTTAAATTAAGGTTCATTTTCTTCTGTTTTCTTCCTATTTTTTTTGAAAACTTCGGTATATAATTAAAAAAAGGCAAAGAAAATACATAATTAAAAAGTAATATATAAAGGCTCCGGAACTGAGATCTTGCAAAAATAGTATATGTAGAAGCTAAAAATGGTATTTTTTAAAAATATATCTATATTTAGACATTTAGTTATATAATATTTATTTCGTCAAACATTTAAATATTTAGTCAAATTTACATTTCGACAACCATTTAACCGTTTAAAACTTGCTCCATAGTTTTGGCAAAATTATGTTGATCATAGGCCGAAATTATTTTAATGCCTGCCAAATTAAACGGTTAAACGGTTAAGAAAATTTTTAGACGGTTCCAATCTCTAAATACTATGTTGAAAAATATTTAGACACTTATAGTTGGAGGTGAAATTCATTTAATTTCGACATTTTTAATATTCTATAAATTAAATCTAAAAACAACTATTTTAATTAATTTTTGACATAATTTAAATTGATTTTTAATATTGAGGACCAATTTCACCATCAAATAATTTCAACAATTTCAACAAAAACTTTTATTAAGAAAAATGATTTCACCCCCACTAATATAGACACTCGAATGTCTAAATTTTGACTTAATAGACAACAATACTAGCTGGAGGGTTGGGTGGGGGTGCACTCGTCCATTAAGTGTCCTTGTTACGCTTCGACCATTAAGTGTCCTTGCTACGCTTCGACCATTAAGTGTCCTTGCTACGCTTCGACCATTAAGTGTCCTTGCTACGCTTCGACCATCAAGTGTCCTCCATTACGCTTCGGATCATCAAGGGCAATTAGAATTTGAAACCAACTATATCACTTGAAAAATAAAATTGGTTTCAAACTTAACAAGGATAAAAATGATCGTTACGTTTTTCGACACCATAACATTTTATTATTTATCATATTGTACGAAGTCGAACATCAAAAATACATAAAATGTTTTTTTTTTACAAGTTAATCATCCAATCAATCGTTCAGCCAAGTAATAACAACAATAGTAATAATAACAAGAAAATAACAATAATAGTAACAATAACAATAATATAGGATATAAAATACCAAACAAAAATAAGTAAAGAACTTCTTTCAGATGAACATGTCAAAATTAATTAGTGCTAAGTGTAGCACCATAATTGTTAACGGTGGAAGTATTAACAACGGTAGACTCGTCTATTACTGGCGTGCTTTGATAGGAGGTTCCGACAGCCTCAACAGTAACGATTTGTTCGTTTTGATCCACTTCATCATCAGCAGCCTTTTGTTCTTCAATGAGAACCTTTACAAAAATAAACGTTTACGAATTAATAATTGAATATAATAGAATTAATTTATAAAACGTACATCAGCAGTCCATAAGGCAGCACCAACGATAGTAGTCCAGAAGAAGATGAAATTGGCTACAGGGATCAATTGGAGAGCCATTCCAACGGCACCGAATGAGATATAATCATAACGATTTTTCCAAGCAAATTCCCTAGATTTTTTTACGGTCCATTCTTTAATCGTCATGTGGTAATAAATTTGGTGACCCCAAGCTAATGGCCATCCATTAATGATGCAATATAAAACAGTCCCGATAATTGGAATAGCATTAATTGGTATGGTGATGATGAGGAGGAATACCTAAAAAAAGAAGGTAAACTTTAATTGCAAGATTGGAATTTTATAGGCTAAAAGGAAAAATTGAAAATATTAACCTGAATAACTGTCAATTCAATTCCAAATCCAATGCCACGAAATAATAAAACGAAATTGTTAATATGTCTCCGTTTATCCAACACATCTCCTAATCCTTTTAACCTCAAAACATTGTCAAACAATTTATCTTGCCAAGATGGAGTAGCGACAAGATAAAATATGAGAATAAAAATCAGAGATTCAATTATACAAGCTATAAAAGCCAAAACAAATGCAATTGGAGGAGGAATAAGTATGAGTGTGAACAAGGCAGTTTGTAAACCCAAAAATATTCCAAAAGTCAATAATAATATGAAAATGGTTACGACGATAGTTATTAATAGAACTAATAAAATTTCTTTAACTAATGACCAATGAGAGAAAAAGTAAAAGATCCCTTTGATCGGATATTCTGATGTTTTGAGATTCATTTCTTAAATATATTTATATATATACTTTTTTTTAATGTTACGTATTATTTATTTTTTTTTGGTCAAATATTCGAGTTTTTTTTTTTTTTTGCGTTAAATGTTTTTTAAAGGTCATCTTTTTAGGATGAGATATTTTATATGATAGTGGAATATTGCCAAAAAATAAGGTTTATATGCGTGTAATGCACGCATGAGAAGATTTATTATTTCTATTTATTGCGGATGAATGATAACAAACCGATATAGATGTTTGCGCGACAAGATTGGCGTCCGTCTTCATAAATTGATGAATATTATGTAAACGGATTTTATCTACGCGCGACCATCATTGAAGTACGTACGCCTTGATGTAGATTTTTGTACTCACTTGCACAATCGTCATTAATATAACTTATTATGATAATAATTAAGGGGAGTAACTTTAATTAACACTTTTTAACAGATTGATTTTAACAAGAACTTCAACTTGTTTGAATACCAATTATTCGTTATATCAATATCAGGACTTGAATAATCTTGCAGAAATGAATTGGTTCTTACCACATTAACTATTCTTGATATCGCGTATTAACAAAATGTTAATCAAATTATTAGATAATTGGCAAATTAAAACGTTGGTCAGTCTCATGACTAACGATATTCAATCTTTCGATGTAAGTTTTGAAAGTTTTACCGTTGATAGATAACAAAAGAAATAAGATAATATTGATATGTGCAAAAAATCAGTCGATAATACGTACGCCTCAATTACCAGTCTAGTATAAATTTGTCTTATTATTATTTTTTTTTTGGATAAGGTTGCATGGGACTTAGGTCACGAGATATAATTATTAAAGGGACTATCTTACCTGACTCCACGTATCGATACGACCGGTATTCAGCCATAATCCAATCGGAGATTTTTGTCTTGTGTTCCTTTCTGAGTTTAGGTTAATGTAGTGCATTTTCGGAAGTATGTAAATTAGTCCGAATTTTTTTGAATATCGAAACCTTATTTTACTCTCTTTTTACCTGATTGCTGATTAGTTTAAATTATTATTTTCTTACAAACTACAATTTTAGTCGATACTAAGAAGATTCCTAGAATTTTACATTTTAATTATAAATAAAATTTATGTCGAATAAACAGAGATTTCTTTATCAGGATTTTTCAGATCCAAAAGCTCAACTTGTAACCGCCGACAATAATCAAAATGCTTATGACATTTACTGTCCACAACCTTCTTGCAGATGTCTTCTTTTGAGAACAAGTTTTGGAAATTTTGTTGAGAAACCTAAAGACAAAGTAATCAGTTGAATAATTTGAATAATTGAATCATTTCATAAATTCATACATACATATACATGGGTGTCTAAATTATTTTTTAAAAAATCAATTTCGACAAACTTTTCGACATTTCTATTTTTTTATATGAATTCTCCAAAGTAACAATACTACCTAATGTATCATGACTAATAATTTTACTAAAAATTTCGGCAACTATGAAATTAATTTCGCCACTAAAAAAGAACTAATCTCGACAGACTAAATGCCGAAATGATTTTTTATTAAGAGGAGTAATTTAGAAACCCATGTATATACGTACATATTAAAATGTTTAACTTTTATTATTTTCTTTTCTGTTTATATAATAGACAGTACTACTTCCTAGCACAGAAAAATTAGATCCAAATGGTACTACCATTAGCAAAGAAAATGCAAATTGGAATGGTACCAATGGTGAATCAACATCACAATCGACTGTAGAATACTGGCAATTAACGGATATGATGGCATTTGAAAATATTGGGTTTTCAAAAACTGTCGAGGGAAGTGGATTAAAATATTTATGTTGTGCAGATTGTAACATTGGTCCAATTGGATATCATGATACAAATGCACAAGAAAAAGAATATTTGCTCGTTGTTAATAGAGTTAGTTATGATGTTGGTTCTTTAATTTCTGAAGAAATTGTTTAGGTGATGTTGGTAAAATACAGTAATAACTTGTTAATATTAATATACTTTTTTTTTCCTTTAATATCGTAATCCTTTTTTTTTGTATGATCTTATCTAAAACTATTCCGAAATCTGTCAGATTTAATCTTGGTCGCATAAAACACTCTTAATTTAAAAGTTATTATATAGAAGAATCTATGAATGATTTCTATAAAGGTTTGAAAAAATAATTAAAAATTTACATCTTTTTATATCATTACTATATTTAACAAGTACCTTTGAATTCGTGTTTAAATTTTCTAATGAAAAATCTTCAACAGGAATAATCATTTCATGTTAAATTTGATATTTAAAAAGGAGATGCATATCGGTGGATTTGTTTTTTGAAATGAATAACTATGTATTTTATATGGAGTGTGATCTATTAAAACAGGCCATTTTTACATATAAACAATCTTGAATAAATCAATTTTAAATGCATATAAAATTTTCAACTTAAAGTTCATTTTGTGAATCTTTTTATTATAAAATTAGCTTTGGTAACTTAGAACAAACTTTTTATTGAATATATACCTATTCAAAAATTCAATAAAAAACTTTTTGAAAAATTGTAAAAATTGGCTGTTTTAATTAGATTACACCCATTAGGGTGGGGAAAAAAATGCCCGGTCGATTTCGGAAATTTTGAAGGCTATAAAAACAATGTCATTTCTAAGTCGATATTAACTTATGCAATTAGTATGATAAACACACTTATACGTACGTAGCAAATTGAGCCCATTTGCTAGAAGTGTGTTTATCATATGTTAATATCACAAATCGGTGGAACACTGTTTTTATAGCCTTCAAAATTTCCGAAATCAACCGGACTTTTCCCCCACCCTACATACACCCCATATACCAATCCATTAATCGGGTTAGATAGTATAGTAAATAATTATAGTATTAATCTTAAATATACAAAAAACCAAACCTGTCATAATCACATTGGACGTTTGAAGTATACTTACGAGTTACACTATTACGTTCATACACTGATGAGTCGAAGAACAGAGTAACAATTATTATATATTCTGATGTGTTTATAAAAATATAACTAAACAATCCTTTTGCTCGCATGTTCGTGTGCATTAAACTGCTTCCATCAATAACGATAATGAGTATATCTAAATGGGCACATTTATCGTGTCGCTTAAGTTCTTGATCAATTCCTTTATGAATTAGTCGATCATCCTCAAAGTATCGTAAGCTTGGCCGTATTGACCGTGACACTTATTTAAGATGTTATTTGAAGAAAAAGAATAGTAAAATCACGATTAATTAATATAATTAACATAAGTAATGTTAAGAGTAAATGACTACTGTTTAATCTTTGATTATAACAGTATTGATAAATGCTAATCAAAGAATACTTTAATGAAATGGCTCGACAAGATCTTGGGCCTTAAAATTTCTCAAAATCTATAAAAATAATATATCGGTTTTTTTTTTCTAAAAAAAGTAAAAAAATAAACAAGCCTTTTTATTGTTCCTTTCATGATCGTAGTTATATTGTGAACACCTTTATATATTTTTTTTCTAAAAATCTAGAATTATCTCATAAACACCTCCAACCTTGGCAATTTATTATATTGAGCACGTCGTTTAACCCGTTTCCATTCTTCCTCATCATCCAATAAGGTCCACATTCCTTTATTATTATACCACATTCTTTCCCACTTCCATCCAAACCTTTGCTTAAGGTAAAATTGAAAGTGACATAATAATCCATCACCAGGATAAATAACCGCGCGTTTTTGGGTGGGAATGATACATGTAATGTATATCTAAATAATCCTTGTTAGACGTTTGAACGTTACGTGGTATATTTGAAAAAGCCATAAAGATTCTTACTTCTTTCCGTTGAATTGCCGCGACTTCTGATGATTTCAAAGTCGAATTATGTTGAAGTGTCCCTTTTGAGTTTAATGAATGAACTTCCTTTGAATAATAATTATCATCATTTCTAATACTTCTAGCCGACCAGTTATTAAATGTGGGCTATTAATATTAAAAAAATTTTTATAAATTATCAAATAAAGATGCAAACAATTTGGATTCACATCTTATAAACTTAATTAACCTTATTTAATTGACCTGTCTCAATCATTAATTTTTTTACAAACTTTTCTATTTCGTACATTTCTCCATATTTTGTAAAAATTTCAGGCTTAAGATTTAAACAGTTTAAATCAGACAAATGATCGTTTGTAGGATCTTTATATAACCTCACTGGATTGTCTTTGTATGGGTATCCGTTAGGGTGATAGAAGTACTAATATGTAATATAAAAACGTCGTAAATCTGATCGTTATCAATTAATTAATTCATATTATATCCACATATGTCATTACCGTTCGATCAAAATTTGGATTCAATTTTAAAACAATGGATCCCTTGGCAATTCGGAATTCTTCGATTTCTTTAACATTTATAACAATTTCATCTTTCATATTATGTAAACAAATCGAAACCTCTCGTGTTTTTCCACGTACTAAAAACGCCATATCTCCAACTCCGGAAGAAAACATACGAATACTTGTTCTTTTGTTAAAGACAATTACTTTCAATTGTATTTTGTAATCGTGGTTGTAGTTATGGTTATTAACGTTAACGTTACTTGAACGAGGTGTAGAAGGTATCAAAGCACTACTACCTTAAGAAAAGAAAAAGTGCAAGAAATAAATAATTAATTAATGTTAGTTCTTAATGTTAGGTTAAAAAAATACATTTACTTACCAGACACCCATTCTATATTATCTTGATCATTTAAACTTTCTTGTGAACTAACTTCCATTTTTAATGAAAAAATCAGTGTTTTTCAATATGTAACAATATACAGATATATAAACAAACGTTAACTAGTTCTCCAACTATGTGTGTAACGTTAGGGTTCGTCAAATCAATAACGATAACAATAAATAATGATAATCAATTTTATACGTATTATTTGATTTACAAATTATCAAAGACATAAGAATTTATATGATCATAGTTGTTAAAGTTGAGTAAAGCCTGTCTACTTTATTAAAGAATTAATTATTTATAAATAGAATGAATCGAAAAAATGCTGTTGTTACACTATTATAAATGAGTTAATATCTCTCACAAAAATTGACTAGTGATTATTATGTTAGTTCAAAAGAAAGAGTGTACCGAAAGTTACTACCGTGTAAAGTGCCCACCCACCGTCAATTTAGCATCAATTTAGTCAAATTAAATAGTCAATCGACGGTCCCAGAGGAGTACTATTCAATTTTTAGGCCTAGAGACCTTGCCACAAATTACGGTATTACTGTATTATCCGTAGTAAATTCAATAGCGATAGCGATAGTACTTATGATTTGATTTTATTAGTTTGATGATCACCCTAGTGTAACGTGGGACTAGATCAAATAATCATATGTTAATTAATCTTTTAAAGAAAAAATCAATTTTTAAGTTCATCGTTATCATTATCGTTATCGTTATTCTTTCTGGAATTCAATTATGATAGATCACCTTCTAGGAAGACCTTCTCCTTCATGGAAACGATTTCAGGTGTTTCTTGTTTCACTTACCTGGTAATGGTACTCTTTAAATTTTTGTGTAGTTTAAATATTTTTTAACATTCGTAAATACTTAATATATTGTCTTTAGGTTTTTTATCTTATTCAAAATCGATCGTCGAGGTCCAAAATTTCTTCATATATGGAATGAAAAATTATGTGAGTTTTTACACATTTATTTATTTATTTTTTGTTTTGGTTTAGTTTTTACTTATTATTTATCATTAAAACAGCAAGATTCTCTCCATTTCAACTTGTGGCCGGAACTTTGGCTGTATTATACATCTTGAAAAATGCCGATCGTATGATAGGACTCGGAGGTATTTTTATACTCAGATTACTTCACATTTTTAATCTCTTTTTTACATTCACTCACTAATACGTTTGTTCTAAATAAATAGCTCCTGAGCCACTTGCACGATTAGTATGTGATGATGACATAACCTTTTCCATTATAATTACCTTTTTCTTACTATTTAATATCATTTGTGCTATTTAACATATATAGTATAGTCGAAATTATTATCGAGCCACGTGGGTCCTTACTGCGTTAGACGCCGGTTTTTGGACTGCGATGTCAATTCGTCCAAAACAAATTCGAGATATCATGAGCATTCTTTTTTCTATTTATTATCTAATATTTGCTGATCAAGCGGATGAGAAGGTATTAAATTATAATTTAATTATTTTACACGTAATGAAATCTTTCTTTATGTCTTTTTAAATCAAATTAATATTTACATTTTGTTAATTCAGACTAGACGAATACGTGCTACAATTACTGTCGAACATCTTCGTACATCATGGGAAAAAACTTCAAACCCTTATTTACGAGCGTTAATAAGGTGTACACATCCACATTTAATTATTCATCAAAAAAAAATTATGATTCCTCGACCAGAAAATAGTCAATATTGTTCAAAAATGGTTACTGGTTATATATATTATGATGGTCCTTTAGAATCATTCAAATATTGTGACACCTTAATACTCAACTTCCCTGGTGGTGGCTTCATTTCCATGCCTCCTCCATGTCATGAAGACTATTTAGCTCAGTGGGCTAAGACGACCAAAGTACCTATTTTAAGTATTGACTACGGGAAAGCTCCTGAATATCCTTATCCTTATGCCCTAGAAGAATGTTTTGATGTTTATCGAAGCATAATCAAAAGTAATGGAGATGTAATTGGAATGGCTGGTTGGAAAGATAAGGATGGTAATCCGAGGAAACAAATAAAAATAGCTTTGATTGGTGACTCTGCGTAAGTCAAATTTAATTTTTATTTTCTGTTTTATTGAGATTTGTTTTTTATACAATGATAATTGATGTTTAATATTATTAAGTGGTGGGAATCTTGTTGCGTCAGTCATGTATAAAATTCTTGAATCCCAAATGCCTATTCCCCATCCCAGTGGTTTGATTCTCATCTATCCGTGCCTTAATTTTGATATTACTTGCTGGATGCCACCATCTCAGCTTTCGGTTATTAGAGCTGAATCTACAACTTCTATTCCAGGAGTACTTGAATCTAAAGATCATCTGAGTCATAAGAGTCCTTTGTCTGTAGTTCCAGATGTTAAGAGAAAAAGATGGAGAAAGAGTTTTTCAAGGTCGACGGACGATGAAAGAACCATAGAAGAACGTGTCCAAGTGATTGAAGGTCATAATGTCACTGAACATAATGAAAAACGTTCACGTCCGGTTATTGGAACTCGTTTAACAATGACCAGTCGTATGAGTTTTTTTAATGACAGAATCATTAACGCAGATTTGGTAAATTATGGTTTACTGATTGTATGCTATATAAATATTATTTAGTTTTTCTGTTAATTTTTTTGTTTCTTTTTTAGATGCGTGCATTGGCAATTCTCTACATTGGTCCTAATAATTACCCTGATTTCAGCTCTGATTATCTTCTTTCTCCTATTGTTGGACCAGATGAATTGTTAGCGCAATTTCCAAAAACGTATCTAATGTGCGGTGAAAAAGATCCGCTCGTTGATGATACTGTTGTATTTGCAGGACGTATACGTGAGGCTAAGAGAAGAAAAAAGCCGTCAGGTAATAGTCGGAAATTTGGTGAAGGGTTACGAATAAGCAACCTGAACGAAGAGATTGTTATATCGGAAGATTCTGAAGACTGGGTTGAAGTGAAAATTATTCAAGGTGCTAGTCATGCATTTTTACAGATGCCATCACTGTTGCCAGAGAATAAAGGTGCCATCAGATCCTGTGCTTTATGGTTACATGAATGTTGCCAAGATAAATTATTGGACGATATAAATACAAACTGTATAGAATTAATTCATGAAGATGAAGGCTTGACATTCACCTCACATCGTTCAAAAAATAGTGGCATTGCTAATTTTAAAGAGAACGAAAACAGAAAATTAACTCTCCAAGAACCTGATCAAATCCAAGATTCCACCACAATAAATAGTAATTTACATGCATCACAATCACTTCCAAATACATTACTACAGTCACATGATAATATACAAAAATCAGCATCCACTACTGTTTTAGCACCTGGACATGAACTCTGGGAACAAGAGAATATACTGAATGAAAATGAAATTTTAAAAAGACGACGAGATACTTTGGTTAGAAATTTAGCAGAAGGCTGTAATACTACCACCACCCTCGACCAATCTATATCGGAAAAAATAACTAAATAAGATATTTAAGAAAAAAACAATTTTGGAATTTGGGATATTAATTGATTTATAATAGTTACTGTGTATGTTTACAAAATAACAAAATAATAAAACAATTATTAAGATAATATTTTTAAAAATTTTTTTTTTTTGATTTGTACTTCTTTTCATGATCAATTGGTTGTTTACAATAAATGATTTTGTGAAATTAATTTCAAAATCCACCACACAAATTTATTCTCTAAAATGAAAAATCTATCCTTTTATTAAAATATTACCGAAATTTTTACATTCTTATACTCGAAGGCAAAATAAATTTATAGAAAAAAACTCTAAATTTTTAATTTACAATGAGTTTAAAAATATTAAGACTCATTCTGTTACTCTTACACATTACTACTCCCTTTAAATTGTTGATTATATAACATTTCCAACTTTTTTTGCCGTCTTTCTTGTCGTTCCTTTTCTTCTAATATTTCCTTATTAGGATCTTTGACAATAACCATATCTTCTAATTCAAGTGTTGCATTTAATGCATTTTCACGCGTTATTTCATCCTCTATTTTTTCAAGTTGAGTTCTGATTTTTTTATCTTTTTCAGACGCTTCTGTAAATTGTTTAATTTTTTTATCTTCTTCAGACGCTTCCGTAAATTGTTCTTTAATATTTTTTTCAGGGAGAGTGAACATATTTTGATTTTGTTGTAATTGAAAGTATGAATCAGGATTAAAAATTCTGGCAGTTTGTGAAGGAACTCTTGCCAATTTAAATACTTCAAGAGGATTTTGAACTGATAAATTATCGTTACTTCTACCAATTCCAACATTGGTCATATTGATTATACCTATGCTTCCAACATTACTACCTCTTGTATTACTTGAATCCAGACTAGTACGATTAGAATAATTTGAAACAAGGTCTATTTCACTCTCATTATTATATAATTCGTTAGAATTACTAAAAAGGGAAGACCTTTTAATGGCAGGTACAGGTGATATTAACGCTATAGCAGCTTCCGAAGAATTTGGTTTAGATCCTTTAAAGTCAACTTGTCTAGAAGTTGTACTGAAATTTTCATTTTTATTCGTGGAAAATAAATTTAAAACCCCTTTACGAGCTGATAAACTTATATTACGCAAACTATCATCGCTATTAGTCTTATCATCATCGATAGAACGTGTTGAAATGTTTCGATTAACAGTATTATTCTTATCATTATTATTATTATTATTATTAAACAAAGATCCCCAAAACCCTCTTAAACCATATTTTCGAATTCTTATAAATATAATGAAAATGATAAATGTTACTCCTGTACCTAAAACAGATAATAGAATAATTTCAGGTGTACTAGTTGCTGTATCTGTAGGAGTATCTAGAGGTTGAGATATTAAAGGTCGTTGTAAATCACCAAGTGCAGCACAAATTTCATTACTCAAAATAGGTTGTCCGTTTGGTGTTACGACAGTCTCATTTGTTACAAGAGGTCCTTTATCACTTTGTTGGAAATCACCAGTACATCTATGTGTATCGCATTGATTAGCACTAAAACAAGGTGTTGCTCTACTAAATTTTAATCGACAAGTTCCATTAGTAACTGCCTTTGATGATGTGATACCTCCATTAATTGATGTGTCACAAAAAAATGGCTGTTTACAATTTCCTAAAAAATCAAAAGGTCTTTCCCATGTTCCAGTAATGTTTGGTAAGTATAGAGTACCAAAGGAGCTATTTACCATTAATTCAATTAAAAGAGTCGCTTCATTTGGATTATTGGGTGGTATGAATATTTGACATACTTCACCTTCAAATTCTAAATCAGAGAATGTTAAACCGTTATCACTGTTAATTCGCCATGAGTTTTGATTTGTAGAGTCACAGCGAAACCCATTTTCATCAACAATACAGAATGGTGCTGTAGAATTGCATGAAATAAGTTGGCATGGTGGTTTAGAGCATGATGATGATACTGGACACATGTCAATCTGTGAATCCAATAGTGGGTTTGATATGAGTGTGGGTTTGGGTATTGATATGGATGTGGTTTTAAGTGTAGATGTGGATGTATATGCGCGCGTGGTTGTATATGTGGATGTTTCGATAATTGTCGGTGTAGCCATTAATTTTCCTTTGAAATTATGATGTTTTTTTTTTTTACCATAATAATAATAATAATCGCGTTTTCTTAGATTTATTGACTTTGCAATACCAGTACGAGATGGTCCATTTCTCTTTGACTTATCTTTTTTTACTACGGTCAAGTCACTTGACATCATGTCGTCACAACTTGAGTTAATAAATGCTAAATTATCATCAGCTCTTTTAGATGAAAGTTTATAATTACTTTTGAACATTTTATTATTCAAAAGTTTTCGTGTAGATGTGTCCTCAACTATACCTCCATTTAGATTAATACCATCAACATCGTTAAACCTTATGTTGGCAATGGCAAAAACGAGGCCAGCTCTAGTGTTTAGTCGTATTAAAACGAGAAGTATTAATATTATATGTGATGATGATATATTCCATGTCATGACTTGGTTTTTTTTTATGTCATGAACATGGAAATGATATCGTACATCAAGGGTTCAGGTCACCACAAAGCGTAACGATTGAGATAAAATTTTGAAGACTGAATACGTATTGAACAAGGTGTAATATAAAAGGCGAATGAAAGAAATAAAATGAAACAAATTATGATTATGTATTATTATTATTATTATTTAAAAAAGTATTTAATCGTGCTAATAAATTATGATACAAATGTAACATATATATTAACGTCATTCTTTTGGGTTTTATATTTGCAATAGGTAGTAAAGATGATTATCACAAAATATATATTAACCTTTTCTACGTCAATGTGTTTTTCAAACTGTTAATCGCGTTGTGTAATAAAGTTTCAATATATTTTATATTCTATCGTCTTATTATGGAAGTTGACTTTTCCCTTTACGGATAATTTTTTAAATTAATGTGACACAATGGAATTGGGATAAGAACTGAAGAATAATTGGTCTGGAAAGTCATATATATGCACTTTACTTTTAAAGTATAAACCTCTAATTTTAGTATAGTGATAATTAATATTGACACATAAGGTTTCATGCATAATTAGTTATGGGTTCAATTAAAGCTTAGATCCGATATCCATTTTCATATTAAATTTAACGATACCCTACGAATTTTGTTATTAAATTCAGTATCTAACGGATAACGGTTCAAAACTCTACTTAACAAACTTTCGCGTGACGAAATACAGGTAACTCTCGCTACGACGGATTATCAGACGAAACATTCCATATGGGCGACGCCAAGAGAAAACCAGACTTTGATCATATAATTTTATATAGTCAAAATCCGATTTTCTCTTGGCGTCACCCATATGTGTTGATCAAATTAGTGGTCGACTATAAATTTGCTGGTCGGATTTCTGGTCAAACTGGTCTTGGTCTGGTTAAATCGGTCGAATAGTCTAGCAATATGAACCAAATGAACAAATCAGCAAATTTGATTATAGTCAAATTGGTCTGATTGATTGATTTGTACATATAACTAGACCATTTGACCAAATTGACCAATGTCAAAGATGCTTGACCGAACTGGTCATTGGTCAAATTGGGCTGGTCAGCCTAACACTGGTTTTAATGATTGTGGTAGATTAAAATCACCGAAAGACAAAATTTTTGGTGCCTTTTTTTAGGGTTATAGTTAGCTTTAGAATTTATAGTAAACAAAATACAAGTAGGTTTTAGAAGGATAAATAGAAACCCCGCTATAATTAATAAACTGGAAAATGCCAATTTTTTTTAAAATAAACGATTTAGAGCTAATTGGATATAGTGTACATAAACTAAAGAAGTTTTTAAAAATTTAAATCTTAAACTTTTTTAACAATTGTTTTGCATAAACTTATTTAATAAAAAAAAGGTGGTAATAATTAAAAGGTAATGTTTATTTTTATTTGTATATTATATATATTGTATATATATAAATATGTTAATATCTTAAAACTCTGACTATAAATTAACTTTTTGAATTTTGACAAAATATATTTTTGCAAAGTTTTAATCTATTTTTAATTTCAAGGTTGTTTTATAATTTATATATTACAATATAATATAACAATACAGAGTTTTAGTTAATGTAAAAAATTAAATAATGATATTTTTAAAGTTATGTTGTAAAATGTTTTGTGGATAAAGAAATAACGATAATTTTTCTATGTATTTAATTATTTTAAGATCAGCAAGCGTTCATATGCGGATTCTAATAAAGAAATAAAGTTGCTTTTATGGAAACAATGTTCAACGTACAATATGCATATAATTAAAAGCTACACATTAATTTTTGACGTTAAGCTTTTCCATCTTATGTTTTAACCATGAACCAAACTGGTGCAGAATTTTATTCCAAGGGCGAGCAATACTGGTACGGTAATGGAGTTGAAAAGGACTTGCGTAAAGCTTTCGAATACTATCAAAAATCTGCAGAGATGGGAAATGCTACGGGAACACGTAATGTTGGAGTTAAAATAAATTTGAAAAAAGCTTTCGAATTGTATCTGAAATCTCATAGGCAAAAGTTCGTCTGATTGGCTAATAAATTCAATTTTAATTTTACATTATTTATTAGCCAATCAGACAAACTTCTGTCTATGATCTGAAATCAGCTAAAATGGGTTACGCCGAAGGAATGAGTCTTGTTGGTTATTGTTATCGAAACGGAATCGGAATCGGAACAAAAAAAAGACCTAAAGGAAGCTGAATATTGGTTTAAAATGTAAGCATATTTCTTAATTCTTATAAAAAAATATCAATATTAATAATTTAAAAATAGCGAAAGAAGCAAGTTTCAAGGTAATAATCTTATATGTTATTCTTTTCATTTCTGTTTATATTTAATATTTTTAACTTAATTTTAAACAGAAATAGAGAAATTCTCATATTCTGATACAGATGATAATGTTAAAAAAATATTTGATGAGAAGTATCAATTATTATGGATCCCATATGATACATTAAAAAATATTAAAGAGATTGGGAAAGGTGGATTTGCAACCGTTTATCGTGGTAATTGCCCACCGTAATTATGTGTTCGCATTCAAAAAGATTCATGATCAAAGTTTTTTTAATGAGGTAAATTTATCAAGTTTTGTTTAATGCTTAAATTATACAACAAATATATTCTTTTTTTAAAGTTGAAAACATTTTGCGAGATCGGATACAAAAATCCATCGTTCTTAAGATGTTACGGGCTATCGAAAGATGATTCAGGAAATTCCATTCTTATTTTGAAATATGCAAACAAGGGTTCTTTACGTAATAACCTTCGTGAAGTATCAAGAATGAAATGAGGAAAGAAATTAAATTTATTAAGTTGCATAATATCATATCTTGAAGCTATTCATTCACAAGGATATATTCATAAATATTTGGTAACATCTTACAAGACGATTTAGATAATGCATATATTACGGATTTAGGTCTTACATCGCCTGCTAAAAATGACAATGAAATTATTGGGATTTTACCTTATGTTGCACCAGAGGTTTTATCAGGTCAACCATCTACACAAGCAAGAGATATCTATTCATTTGGCATAATTATGTAGGAAATCTTAACGGGTGAAGAAGTTTTCAATTGTTATGAGTTTAATGAAGATTTAGCAATAAGGATTTGTTTTGGATTGCGACCGGAATTCGCACCCGGGACTCCAGAATGTTACGTTGAATTAGCTTAGAAATGTATGGACTCAGATCCAAAAGAAAGACCTACTGCTACATATATTAATGCATTAATTACTACTTGGATCGATGAACTTGCGCGTGAAAGCAACAAAATAATAATTAAAAAGCAATTCTTAGAAGCTGATAAGATGGATAAAAAACCACCAAGCATCGTGCAAAAACATCAAAATGATAATAAGTACGTTTCAAGGCCCATTAACATGCAAAAATCATGAAAGCATTATCAAAAATGGTAATTGGTAGCATTCCGATAGATATCGTGGAAATTTCAGAAGAATGAAGACATTACAATAAAATCAATAAAAAAAAACGAATTAAGTCAGAAGAATTATGTGATAGTTATATTGATAATTTGAGGAATGGATTTTGTCGAATTAAAACTTCATATTGAATACAAACATATATAAATATGTATTTATAACTAACGCTGCATATTTCGATATCACTATCAAATGTCTAGGCATTTTTAAACTTCCTAATAAATTTATATAAAAGTATATAGTTATATGTTTTCTTTGTTCTGAATATTTTTAACATTTTGTGTGATTCCATGTTTATTTTTTTGACAAATAACTAATAAAGTAACCATACAACAATAACATTAAATGGATTTTAAATCATTGTAACAAAGATATTGGAATTTATGTTGTTTTACACTTAAGATGACGGTTTAAGGATACATCGCAAATTAAAATAAAGTTTTTATATTTATAATTAATATGTTAATATGTAATAGAACAACAGCTACTACCACAATGCAATTTCATTTAATATCTACTTGCAAAAAGCATTATATAATGGATACTTTTCGAATGCTTGTGAACGTTGAAGGAATACCATTATAACTATCGTTATGTCAATCAATTACACATTTATTACACCGAATTTAGAACCAATTTAAGTCGGCTTTAGATTTCGTATCAACTCGAGTTATTTAGAATTCGCTGTAGTCCAAGTTGATGCAACTCAAGCTGATTCTAAATTTAACACTGTAATAATCGATAAATTTAAGAAGGAATTTACGAATAAGGGCCCGGAAAGTGAAAATAATTACAAATACGGGCCCAAATTAAAATAATTATATATTAGGGCCTAATTTTTTAAAAAAATTACATATAGGGGCCTAAGTCTATTGATGACATGATCATGGAGCTACTGTGCCACAAAGTACTCTGACCATTTGACTTATAACAATAGCAAAATCGCGATTATAGGATTATTGATTGTTTTATTATAGGCATTTAGAGTTATCTAGATATCAATTATTAGAAAATAAATTTACAAATAAGGGCCCGGAAAGTGAAAATAATACAAATACGTGCCCAAATTAAAAATAATCACATAAAAGGGCCTAATTTTTAAAAAATATTACATATAAGGGCCCAAAATAACAGTGACATTATTCAATCCTATGGTTTGATCGTTATTAGCATAAGAAATATAAGCATCGATAAATGTAACGATCGACTGTAAATTAGTAATTATAAATGAAAAAAGAAATTTTTTAAGTTTAATAAATTTCATTTTCTTGTATACAATCAGTTATTGTTATAACAAGCAGACCACTATAATATCAAGTAAAGCACTGCGAATTGGAATAACATTTACTAATATGAAGATAATTATATTTTTATTAAACGATAAATAAATAGATTTCCATAAAAGTTTCGTAAAAACATAGTATGCTACTTCTAGTTTCGTTTTTCTATTATAAAAAAAAAAAAAAATTAATAACATAATATAATAATATTTATTAAGCATATAATACGCAATAAGCTTCTTAAT